TGAACATAGGGGTGCATATATCCTTTAAATTAGTTTAACTTTAATGACCATGCATTGGCCTGAAAATGAAAATGATTTTGTGTTTGTGTTAATAGAGACTTAAAGGAACGTTTTCTAGTCCTAATTTAATTAAACAATTAAGTTTAGATTTTGTAACTTAGCTTCAATTATTACACACTAATATAAACTGCATTTTTTTCTAGCTTTCAGATTTCTAATGAACATTATCTGAAAAAAGCATTTTTTGCAGAGCCTTGAAACAAACACCCCAATTAGATATTTCTTAAATATTTTTATGTTTGGCCTAAAATGATACTTTAGAGACAATAAATCGGAATTATTCCTTCACTTTTAATTAGGTGGAAAGAATATATTTGAGCAACACTGCTGATTTTTTTATTTCTGAAATGAAATTTTTGTTGATCAACTGTTCTAATTTATTCTTATGTTTTCTACAATTTACCTGACAATTCTGCTGTGAAATTTTACAAATAATTTTTTTCACATTAAAAATTTTATTGGTAGATTTATAAATTTTTACTAAAGGAAAAGAAAACTGAAAAATGACTATGATTGATTAACAAACTATAGCTGTGGTTTACCTAAACAGAAATGATGTGCCATAAATATCTAAGTGTCCTTCTGACCAGTAGCTGTGACGCACACGGACTATCAGGAGGCAGACTCTCAAAGCAGGAGCTGCCATGACGCCCACTAGCCATTTAAAAATAAAAGGCACCAGGGACCTGGCGCCAACAAACTGACACTGGGCTTCCGCCAAGTGGGTCACAGGCCCCGCCACCACCCTGGAGCGACACCCCACCAAATCACAGCTAACACTGCCAAGTCCCCATGGCACAAAATGCGGCCCACAGCCCAGCCCAGAAACGGTGGCTGTGGGCACCGGCTAATGACGTCACATAGCAACGCCTGGCTTCTTCTCCCTAGCAACTAGCCTCCTTGCAGTTTCTTCAGCCCAGGAACACCACATGCTTTATAGCCAGGTGCAAACATTTTACACTTTAACCAAATGTCTGTGAAACGTTTTCATGTGCCTCCTCTCATTTGATCCTCACAGAAGTGCTGGAGTA